GCCCCAGTAGACTTTGTGAGGGTAAATAAAGTTTGTCTATATATTTTACATATGTACAACAACTGTTTCTGTCTTTAAAAATTCAGTACATCAAATGAAAGCTCTAAGATTTGCTCTTGTTCTCTTTTTATCACACTGCAGAGCCACGGTAACAGCTTCGGTTAAGTCTACATTGAGACAATTAGTACATCTTGCCAGGGTTTTATCATTTCCAGTAGCAGAATATATAATCCAAACCCTCAAAATCTTTAACTGGCTTTCATTTTCACAGGGGGTCCTAATTCTAGAACTGACCCATCTGCCATAGTTCCTGTGTCTTTAGTCCAGGCTCAGGATAATTCTAACAATACAATGCCTCCAGTTCCTGGTAATGCTGGTGTCCCTCCAAGGTTGCCTCTACCTAGAGATGGATGTAAGTAAAAGAAGTTGAGAATATCTTAATTGCCAATGACATTCCAGAAAAAATCCTTACCTCCCCACAGATGGGATTTTTTCTAAGACCACCCTACCCCTCTGGAAATTTCAATAAAGCTTCACACATTTCTTTAAATTTTTTGGTCTAACAGAACCCTCCACCACCCAGGAAATTCCAATCCCTTCTGTGGGGGTAGTACTTAATGGATATTTCCTAGACCGGAACATTGCTAAAATAGTTCTGAAGCAAAAAGCAATCACTAACATGCACCTTTAAGTATGAACGAATATACCTACAACCCACATATACCTACGTGTACCTATGTATATTGTTCATGTATAAGCTGGGCAGATCTAAGGGGGATGGGGCAGGTTTAGAGGGTTTGATGTTACATCCTAAACTAAAAAGTGGGGCATTAGAACAAGTCCATATCTCGAACCCCCGTACCTATAATCCAGTATCTGCCCCAGATAAGACGATTTCAATTGATAATTTGATTCAGCCCCCCTGTGGGATAATGATAGTGTTGTAATTAAGCGCAAGCCCACTATTTCTAAGGTGGGTTAACAGTTGACAATAAAAACGAGGATACAAAAAAAGATCCTAAGGAGGCATCTCGTAAATGGCATCATTTAGTTTCCAGCACTGTAATGACCAATCAACTCTAAAAATTTGAACAGGTATTTATTCCACTAAGCAAAACCAAAGAAAGTCCATCAGGAAATTAAAATCAGGGTGTACATTTCTTAATTTTTATAAAACTTAAATGTGTTACTGGTATACAAGGAATAACAACATGAAATTCTGGGTTGTCTTAATTGGGTTTTACTGTGCTTTCAAAGGCAATTCAATTTTTCCCAATGGTTATCAAAACCAGGAATTAACTAAAAATATATTATTTCTTTCACCAGTTTCAACAAGACAGTATCTTACATCCTTAGCTCAATCCGGGACCCTGGAGACTGACAATGGTGAGTCAAGAGCGGAAAATTTAATAAAGGGAAGGAAGAATCGAGCTTTCTGAAAGCAAAGATTTTTATGGGATAGAACAATAGCATGTGTAGACCCATGTAGTCCTGACCAATACCTGTTGGAATGTAAAAAAAAATTGTGAACTGTAATCATACCCAAAGGCCAGTGCAAAAATAAAAAAAAGCTGGACACTATCAAATCCCACTTCAGTCTTATAATCCTCACACATATTAGGCCAGAAAATTGGACATCTCTACCAGCCGAAGACATAAAAAATAGCTATGCCCTAAATCTGAAAATGAAACCATACCATCAAAGACACCTATATTATTAATAAAAATTTCAAAGTACCACTAGCTTAAAAACAAATGCTTTTAAAATTCCTTTGAGGGAATTCTTGAATCCTGTCTTAATCTATTTCAGATTCCACAGTATCACCAAGAACTGATACATCTCAGGGTGAGAGAATTTCGTTTCCCCTACATGTACATTTGATGTGCTTAAATTCAGTATGGAGGACTAACACTCCATTCTTACTAGTCTTGCCTTTTTTCCCTTTTGATCTTATTTGCAAGTGGGTAAAGCTGTAGAAAATTACTGCAACTATTCTTTGCAGAAAATACAGATGAATTTCAAAATCAAACTATATTTCTCTTGTTACACGGGTTTCAATAGGAGCATGGACACCTACTTCATCTCTTCCCACTGGTCACTCAAATGTAAATCCTGTAATCCAACTGACCATTGAAGATGGTAAGTTGTACCAAGTTGTAATGCCCATGACTATATGTTCGTGTGTGTTTCGAGAAAATAAATTAATCAATCAATCAATGAAATATAAATACTGGCATTAAATAAGATCCAATAAGGAAAGACTATTTTCATACCCTATTATTTAAAATATCATGTCATTTACATGATAATGGATCTCTTTTCATTGACTCTATAGATTTTGTTGCCTGCAGTGCTGATACAATCATCAGAAAGAATTGTGACACCACAACTTATGTGTGCTGCTGCGAGCTCACAAAATATTAAAAGTGAATATACTGTAAGGACAGACTAAAACAATCACATTACAGTAAAACCCCGGTAGGGATATGAAAAACAGTTCGAGTTGGCGGGGACTCCATTTTTCAGGGTCGATTGAATATCCAACTTGCCATGTTAAAAATTGATATTTTGCCGAGTTTTTCAGCACTTCAGTATACAGTGACAGCTAAAGGTACCGCATCCAGTATGACTCATAGGATCGGGAAATGACTGTCACTAATTAATATCAAATTGCTGTGGTGTTAGATTTGAGTGTGTTTACCAATTACAGGACAAGAAAACCAAATGGGATGACATCCCTGTTAAGTTACATGAACCAGAATTCGAGTTATCAGGGTAAATTTTTATCAAGGGCAATGAAATTTGGTTCGAGTTAGCGGGGAATTCGAGTTATCAGAGTTTGAGTTAACCAAGTTGAAATGACTGAAAAGTGGGGACAAATCCAATGAAATGGGACTTGGTTCGAGTTAGCAGGAATTCAAGTCATCTGAGTTTGAGTTACCGGGGTTCTACTGCACTGTTAAAACTGCAAACATTTACATACAAATTGGTTGCCATGGGAATGGGATACAACTGCTAACATTGTCTTCCACAACTACAGATGCCGATTTACAACAAAGTCCATTTGAGAATTCTGTCATAGTACTGGACCAAATTCAAGGTAACTCATTTTTTTAATTAGCCCATCCAGGCTTTTATCCAGGATTTGAAAAGTGGGTGTCCAAAATGTGCACTAGTGTCTGCTCAAATGGACATTTATAAGGCAACATATGAACAATGATTTTCTTTAAGAATAGGCCGTCCACAAGACAACCTGGACACTCATCTGGCAAATTGCCTGAGCTCAGCCCATTGACTCCCATGT